TCTCACTGCTGTGACGCAATAGCTCCTAACATCCAGGCCAGAGGGAGGGTCCTGGGGACAGCCACTGGGAGCAGGGATCACTGAGTGCTGGGGCAAGCACTGGTGGCCCAGGTGGACCCAAGTGGCCAATACTGAAATGTACAGCAACATGCAAACAACCAGGGAAAATGTCGTCCCTGATATTTCACTTTTACCAAGACAGTGACCTAGGACCTCTGACCTGACCTCTAGGGTCCTATTCACAGGTGCCCCATCCTCCCAGGAAAGAGGGCAGGATGAGGCCCATTTCAGAACTCATAATGCCCAGTGCCTAGTTAGGGGTGTGTGTGTGTGTGTGTGTGTGTGTGTGTGTGTGTGTGTGAGAGTGTGTGTGTGAGAGAGAGAGAGAGAGTTGGGGAGGGGGGAGAGAGCCAGGCAGACACTACAGACTCAGGCTGTTCTCTGATGCTATAATGAAGCAGCTGAGTCTGGTGATTTATAAAGAGCAGAAGTTCATTTGCCTCATGGCTCTGGAGGCTCCACAATGAAGAGCGTGGAGCCCCATCTTCTCCCCTGGGGGGGCTCCCTGCTGTGTCATAACATGACAGAGGGCACCACAGGGTGGGGTGGGGCAAGCCCGCCAGCCCAGGTCTCTTCTGACAAAGCCACGAATGCCATCACCCCATGAACTATTCTAATCCTACTCAACTCCCAAAGGTCCTTTCTCCTGTGGTTTTGGGGAACACATTTCTACATTTGGACTTTGAGGGACACATACAGCCACAGCAGATGACATTGAGTTACAAAGCAAGTAGGAGCCGGGCTGCCTGTTACCAGGTATTGTCATGGACGGGATTTCTGTCCCCAAATGTCCCATGACCCCAATCACATCTGTAACCTGAGAACACTGGGGTGGCTGTGCCCACTGCAGGTGACACAGAGGCAGACCATTAAAGCCACAGATTTATGGGGGACAACAAATCTAGAATGCAACAGAGCCTCAGGGTGGGGTAAGGACAGTACAGTGTTACCAAGGGAACGTTCAGGTGGCAGGGGACAGTCCCCTGGGATTCCCACCAGCATCTCTCCTCAGAGCACTTGGTGCTGAGGTCCCTGCCCTGCAGGCCCCACCCAGGCTCCCCCAAGCTCAGCGTGTGACACCTGAGAGGACTTCAGCAGAGCTCCTGAGTTGATCACGGGCTGATCAAGGTGTCGTGGGACAGGAACCTGCCTGCAGGGGAACAAGGACTTCCCATCTCTGACCCCAGCCTTCCCCACGTGAGCTTGGGCTCCTGGCCCTGCCGTGGGGTGGCAGAGACCCACCCTTTCCTTCTTACTTGGAACGTCACTGAAGGCGGTGGTGCCCGGGGAGAGCAGGTCTGGGACGAGATGCAAGTTCCTGCTCAGGGTGGGGGTGCGGCCACGGATGCTGCCCCCCTCCGTCTACAGCCAGAGTCAGCACAGAAGGTAGAGTCTGGGGTCCCTCTCCTACGTCTGTCCCCAGGAACCAGGCACTCAGTGTCCCTAACCCTGAACTCTCCCTGGGGTCCCCACTGCTCTCAGGGTCCTGGAGCCCTGGCCCCACTCCTAGGAGACATCCAGCTGGAGAGTTCCTCCACTCACCAGGCCCCAGAACACAGCGTGCGTGGTGCCTGATGTCACTTTCCCAGATACAGAGCAAGGACCTGGGAATGGCTGCCAGCGCCCTGCTCTTCCTGACCTGTGGTCAACCTTCTCCTTCCAACCTGACCCTGACCCCGTCTGTCTGGAGGCCCATGGAGGTGGCTCAGCACACAGTGAAACTGTCCTCCCAAGACAGGGACCTGGGGAGCCCAGGCCATGGGCGGTGCTGTCCACGGTGCTGAGCAGCGTTGGTGGGGCCTGGGCTTAAAACCCACCCAGCTCTGCAGAGGACTCAGGGCCCACGGGAGGGGACCCAGCTCAGACCAGGAGAGTGGGCGGGAAGGTCTGGCCTGTCTGACAGGAAGGATCTGGGAACAAGCAGACCTCGTCCATGGGCTGGGATCTGGAAAGCTGCTGTCCCCTTCCTGGTCCATCTTGGACTCTCCTGTTGTCCCTGCTCTTTTAGGAACACTGAGTCTCCAGGAAACCCCATGGGGCCTAAGATTGAAAATCCCAAACCTAAGAGAGAAGGATTCAGGGAGATGGGCCATGGGCACAGAGGGGGGCAACTGAGTGACAAGGGCTCATGGGTGAGGGGCCCTCTATTCCAGAGATTGATCACCATAATACCAAGAAGTGGGTCACTCTTCCTTAGGTTGGTCTTCCAGCAGGTTCTTTAAAAGGTGCTTCTCGCCAGACTTTGCTGGTGCAGTTTATGCTAATTCAACAGTTTCAGGGGATCCAGGAGAGACCAGATGGCTTCCCCTTTCCTGAGTGTCGGCTGTGCTCTGTGACAGCCCTCCTACAGGTACAGTGAATGACACCATCAGAGCCGGTCCTGCTCCCCAGAGCCAGCAGCCCTGCTCATCCTGGTGCACTTATGTCTTCGCAGTCTGGGCATTTCTTCTCTCCGTCGTCTGGAGCCTCTGGAGATGTGGTCTGTGTCTTCTATTTTCTCTTTCTTGGTAATTATCCAGCTTTCCGCGTGTCCTCCTGGATTTGAAGAAGTGTGCTGCACATGACTGACCTCTCAGTGAGGCTGGGAATTCATGGTCTCCACCAACTCCTTAGTAACGTGCGATGACCTCATGACTTCTGCATGTCATTTTCCAGGTCTTTCTCACTTGGCAACGGGAGGACTTTCTAGAACAAATATCAGCGCCCCTCAAACCTCCATTAGACCTTGTCAGTACCCCCCCCCCATCATTTTCTCCTCAACAGCATCCATCAGCCCATCTCCCACCTGAGCAAAGAGGACACCAGCACGCCACCTTCCTGGAGCCCACGTCCCCAGAGGCCCAGGGAAGAGCTGGGGAAAGTAACCAAAGCTGGTTTCTGTTAAAGCTTAGGACAATGGATTTGTGCCAAAGAGGACTGACTTTCCTCCAGTGTCACTGCCTTCCCGTCACCTCCTTTCTGAACCTCCTCAAAGAAAGAGGAGAGAAATCAGAGCTGTGGGTCTGAGTGTTGGGTTCCCCCTTACTATGTTCTCCTCTCGGAAACGGCTAAATGCTCCAGATTTAGGTGCTAACACGTTGATCATCGTGTCAGTCTTGAGTCCTTCCTGGGAAAGGAAGACCTCTGAGCTCGCCCACACCTTTAAGAAGAGGGGGACAACCTGCTGCGGAGGGCGGTCCCCCTGGAGTCTCTGTGTTGTGCTCGTCTTGGTGGCACCCCCAAAACCCAAGGCACTGACTTATCTACCCACGTTCTCAGGCTGTGCCTGCAGGGAGCACCCTGGGGATGAGACAATGTCTCCCCAGGACTCGGAGAAGGCTCATCCTGCTTCCCAGAAACCACTAGGTTCTCCAGCTGGTCTGCTTTGCTTCCTGGGGGATTTCACTGAGCCAGAAGTTTCTCTGAGCTTGTTCTACCAGTAAAACTAACCAAGTCACCCTGAGAGCCACCAAATACCTGATCCCTGTTATACACTCACCATCTGGCAGGACATGACAGGGGGCACTGAAACTGACACTAAAGACAGAAAGGCAGACAGGAAAATGCTGGGGTCAGAACAAAGATCTCAGATGAGAAGTTTATGTAAACAGTAGCATCACTTTTCTAGATTTCAAAAGCACTTACTTATCGGGAGGATATATCAAGCACCATCCTTGCTAAGGAAACTACATAAAAATTCCTTCATCCAGCATCAAATATTGGGCAAAGACTGGCCCTGGGAACGGGCAGTGAGGAGTGGATGCAGATAAAGGAGAGGGCAGATAAAGGAGAGGGGCTGTTAAGGGCTTGTCCCCTCCAGAGCCAGGCTGCACATGACAGTGTTTACAAATGGGTCATACAAGGCAGAGAATTTAGTAATGACCGCAGAGGTACCCAGGCACGGTGACACTGAAGGAAGAGGAGGGAACTCGGCTGAGCAGGGCTCAAGTGTCAGCTAAAGACTTGCATAGGGTGAGAGCAAGGGAGGGATGGGGCCCTTCTTAAAGAACCCCGAGGGGACGATATGAAAGACCCATGTGGGAGAGAGGGGAGTCGGGGCTGCGGAGGAGATCAGCGTGAAGCTGAGAAGAGGAAGTGAATACAACCGACCAGGAGTAGAGGCCACGGGGATGTTGGCAGAGGAAGTGAGTCACGTTCAGGAAGGGACATTCACAAGATTCAAGTCGTGGGGTGTGGTGGGTGAGAGAGACCCCAGGGACTCCTAGGGTTGTCACTGGGGAGTGGTGGCAGCTCCGTCACCAAGAGGGAAAACGTGCTCCTCTGAGGCTCCCTGCAGATGAGAAAAGACAGAAAGGAGTGAGAGCCACCGGGGGCCATGAGGGAGAAGGGAGGCCGGGCAGGTGTGGAGACTCAGAGAAGGCTCCTGGGGGGAGGAGCAGGACAAGGCCAGAGGTGGACAAGAGCCTCTGGACAGGGCTTCCAAGGAAGGAGTGGGCAGCAGCTGGAGGATGAGAGGAGCTGTCCCATCTCTGTCCTCAGTCCCCAGAGGTCCTGATACGGAGCCATAAAGTGTCAAGGTCCTCAGTGCTATAACTTCTGGATCCTCAGAGAGGATAAGATTAGGAGTGAACCATCTGTGGCGCCCCAACTCCCCCCCTTTGGGTTCAGGACCCTCACATCTTCTCCCCACTCCCACTCCCCATAACAAGACCAGAGCTAGCCCAGGCCTTCAACAAGTCTGGGACCCATGCACTAGACTCCTTTCACAGACACACTTAACTACTGTGGTCTTGGAGCTTGAGTCAAGAGTAAAGGATTCCTCCTGGGGCCACCAGGGACAACTTCTAATAAGAGAGGAACTTTGGCCACAATCCTAAATAAGAAGACTCCTGGAAGTGTCCCAAGTACTTTTCTGCATGTGGAAAAAGCTCAAAATCATCAATGCTCGCACTACGACCACCTTATTATCTACTCCGTAAAACAAATGCCACAAGACTCAATGGATCTTACACATATTTCAAATCTCATGGTTTCTCTGGGTCTGAAATCAGAGTGCAGCTTAGTCATGTCCTACAGCATAAGGTCTCTCACAGGCCCTGATTCCAATGGATGCTCTAGTCATTTGAAGGACAAGGGAAGGAGTCCCCCCAGGACGACTCTCGAGGTTGGGGAAAGGAGTCAGGTCCTGAAGCTGCTGGGTGGAGGACCAGTCAGAGACACTGATTTATTAATGACAGCAGACACACGTTCAAGGCAGAATGCAGGCCATCTTGCGGGTGAGAAGCTTCTGGAATAAAGAAAAGAATTCACGTTCAAGGGAGAGCATGGGCCATCTCCAGGGGGAAACAGCAACACCTTGGTCTGGGGTGTCCATATTTACACAGGGACAGTAGTTAGGGACTGCACTAGAGGGGAGCAGGGCTGTTTCTCTGGCCCTTGTGCATTGCCCTCGAGTCCATCTTTGCAGACAGGGCAGGGGCTGAGGACCTGAGTTGGTGGCTCAGGAGGGCTTGTTTGGCCAGTGGCTCATGGGCGCTTCTCTTTTGAGACTCACTAAAACTTTACATTTCTGCATCCCCAAGTTCCTCCCTCAGGGCCAGTGCAGGGCCACCCTCAGACAAGTAGGATGACACTGCATGGACCAAAGTCCCCAGGGCCACAGAAAGACAGAGACCTGGCAGGGACGGGCCAGACCACTGTCCCCTCTACCAGGCATCAGTTGCTTCAATGACCCTACAGAGAGCAAGGCATGTTGAGGTGGAAGGTGGGCAGGGCTCCAGTACAGTCTGAGGAAGGTGGCTTTATCGTGATGGCACTGGGGAGCCCTGCCAGGGTCCTCACAGGGAGAGACACTCATCCATCGGGGAACTGTGAGGGAAGACTCTGGTTCTGATGGAGATTCGAGAAAGGCGGGCCGGGGAAGCCTTTGGGCCCCTCAGTTTTGGGTCTCCAGCATCTCGGGATCCCATCAAGACCTGTCCCACCCACCGTCCTCCACCCTGAGCTCCACCCCAGGTCCACGGTAAAGCAGAGGGTAGTCGTCTCACTGCCCGAGGTCTGCAAGGAGGACCTCAACTGCACCCACCATCACAGCTCTCTCACACACTCACCTGTGCACACGCACCACTACCACCCCCAGGGCCAACACAGACCCACTCCATCCTCGTCCTCCGAGATGCCCCACGCATGCGCGTTCTGCCCTGTACAAGTCCCCAGCCTGTGCACCCCCTTCACTCTCTCCCCGCAACCCCTCCTCAAAGGGTGCAAATCCTATGTTCTATAATTCCTGTAGCCTATAGTGTCGCACAGAACCAGGAAATCAGGACAAAGCTGTTATCCTCCACGCGATCCAGTGGCCAAAGCTTTCTGCCAGAGCAACAGCAAGGACTGCTCAGCGCCCGCGCAGGCGCAGAGGAGATGCCCAGCAGTGCCCTTGGAGCATCAGGCCAAATGGAAGCCTGGACCACAGGCTTGGAGGGAATCCCCCAGCCTCAGGCTCCCTGAGGACTGTTGCATTCTGGGAGTCGTAGGCCAGGCAACACCGAGGCCTGGAGGTGACCAAGACGTGCAGAGGCAGGAGGGGGCGGAGCTGCGTGTCGGGAGCAGGGTCTGCACCTGCCAAGTCTGGGATCCCAGCAGCCGGGCCCTGAGGGTGTGGGGGTCTGCAGAGGGGGGAGGACGGCTCTGGGGAGAGTCCACAGCACGGCACTGGGAGGCCCTCTCGTCCAGGCTCCCTTGTTTCCCAGTCACCATCCATGGAGGGGACACACAGCTGGTCCAGCCATGGAGGAAGTGGGCACATGCTGGACACTGGTGCTGGGGACAGATGGCGGGAGCTGAGGTGGATCTAGTGAGCAGGGAGACCAGGGTCAGAGTGGACAGACATCAGGGAGGCCAGGCTTAGGAGGAAAGAAACTCCAGGTGGTGACTGAGGGGACCAGGGAGGTACAGCAAGGTCCAGGTGGGGACCCACCTGGCTCTGCTGTAGAGAGGGGCCCTGAGCCAGTAGCCACACAGGACCCCAGCAGGAAGGGTGGCCTTCAGGATGGGGACAGGCAGCTTACTTGCAGCCATGGGGAGGTGGCCAACCTAGGGCCATGATGGGGGAGGGTCCCTGAGCAAGTGGGATGCTGAGACGCTGCGTCACTGACCTGAGACTACCCGGTGACACTGTTTCCAAGCTCCACGCCCACAGCTGGCCTAGCTGCCCTCTTCCTGGGGGACCTCACTCTGAGGGAAGAAACCAGGGCCCTCAGGGGGCAGCATGGGTACAGTGGGCAGGGGTCCCCTGCCCTGTGCCCTGTCAGGGGACTGGAGGTGACTGAGGGAAGCCAAGGAGGCTTGGTATGAAGACCTCTTTGATGTCACCCGCTTCCACCCACATTGGGCCAGAACTGGGGACAGACAGCGATGGCCCATGGCCCAGGCAGCACCCACTCAGCCCCTGCCTGGCCGGAGCAATCTTCACCCCTTTGGGTCCCCAGCGCTGGGACTCTGGGATTCAGTGCCAGGTGCCTGCCCTGCCCACACCTCCTCTCCACCCCTGGGCAGCGCTGACCTGAGCAAGATGAGGCAGAGGCCGAGGAGCAGGATCTTGACAGCCACCTCCCCGATGGCCACCAGGACCACCTGGGGCATGGGCTCTGACTTCCCTGCAGAAAAGTGGACGAGGCCAGAGTCACCTGCTAATCCACAACCCAGGGCCCTCCTCCCACCTGAGGCCATGGACATGGCTCCTCCAGGCCTGCTCCATCCCTAGTGTGGGGCCATCAGCCCAGGCCTCCCCCAGGCCCTGACTGCCCAGCAGCTGGACCCCAAGCACTGTCCAGCCTCACAGTTGACTTGAAGCTGAGCAGAGGACCCTCATATCCCCTGCTGGGCACGTGGGCATTTGCTCAGAGGCCTGGGACCTGCAGGTCCTTCCTGGGCTAGGGTCTGGTGAGCAGCCCACAGTGACACTCACTCTGCAGTGACAGGCTCAGGGAGATGTGCTGGGAGCCCAGAGGGTTCTGAGCATGGCAGGTGAATTCCCCTCCCCCCCTGAGGTGCTCTGCAGACAGCTCCAGCACCCCAGGGTCCATGGTCTGCGAGGGATACTGAGTCAGGTTCCCCCAGGACCAGCTCAGCCTGGCAGGGGGACGGCTGTCGACGACACAGAGCAGACGCAGAGATTGACCCTCCAGGACGGAAAGAGATGAGCCATTCCCCAGGGTTGTGGATTCTGTGGAGAAGGAGACAGAGGGTCAGAGTGACAAAGAGGACAAAAGAAAAGAAGAAGAATACAGGAGACAGTAGAGGGGTCGATTCAGGGACAGACACGTAGACTGAGAGGAACAGAGACCCAGAGATGGAGAGCACGACCCTGGGCCCTGACTCAGCGCCCCCCACTCCCTGGGTGGTGTAGATCCGTCTCTGTCCTGAAGGGCTCTGTCCCCTGGACTCAGGCCCCAGGTATCTCAGAGGAAGCATCTTGGGCTTCACAGGATCCTCAGGCAAGTTGTGAGTCCAGCCCCAGATTCCAGGTCCCCAAGGGCCCTCGGTGACACTTCAGATGCCAGATTTTCCTAGAGACTCTTGCCCTATACCACATCCTCACTTGACACCAGCCTCTGGTTTATCAGCCTATTTGTAAGAGGGACTCACTCCCAGGCACTCAGAGTCTGATGGATTGGGGACCCAGGAGCAGGTGTCCCTAAGGCCCCGTGACAAGTGATGGGGACAGCAATGTAAATGAGACAATGAGACGATGTGGTCAGGAGGGCTTCCTGGAGGAGGCGTAGCTTCCT